GGTACACATCAAGGGGGAGTATTGTGAAGATTATTCATCGGGCGCTTCTCATCCTTAGTGGGTTTTATAATCATTTTTTGATTATAAAAAGGGGGAGAATATGATGGGTATTCGAAGCTTCTCGGGTTTTTCAAATATTCATTTGCGGATTTGAAGACTGGTGTTAGTTCGAGGGGGAGTTTGGTCTTGATCGTGCTAGCTCGTTGGAGATTAAAGCCGGACATCCAATCTTAACTTTGAGAGGGAGAATGTTAGGGTGCAAAGTCATGCTTGGATGTATTGTTTTAGGTTTTCCTCTTTGTATGTGTAAATGGGTTGAGTCTTTTCCTATAAATAGGAAGTGAGTGACTCCCATTATGTAAGAGTCCATTTTGGAGTGTTAGACTAGAGAGAGAAATTGTATACAAACCCATTTGTATAATCTTTCTAGATCTAATAAGAGCTTACAAAGATTTATTTACTCCTTGTGTTCTTAAATTTGTATGATGATTCACTAGATTTTTCTAATTTCGCATATGCCATCAGAATCAACTCAACTACAGCAACAAGATCATTTTGAGTTCCTGCGTCGTGAAGCCGAGGACGATCGTATTGCGAAAGATTTGGCAATTCTTCAAACTAGCAAGAAGAATTTGCCACCGAGACAGTTGGAGACACTCCGAAAAATGAAGGCGAAGATTAAGCAAAAATATATAGACGAATATTAGCGTTTTTTTTTTTTTCGTTGTAATGGTTTTTTTTTGTCAATGTTTTTTTTTCGGTCTATGTTTTGTTTTCATTGTAATGCCGTTTTATGTTTTTTTCGTTGTAATGTATTTTTTAATTAGTATTTATTTAATTATGTGTTATTTAATTTATATGTTTTTAAAAGTTATTATGACATAAATTAAAAAAATAAAACAAAATAGAAAAATGAAAATTAAAACATAAAAAAAAAAAAAAATAGAAAATGATAAATGTTATTATATGTTATTTGGTGTTGTTCATTTTTATATTTTATAAAAACATATGTTAATCCTTGTTGTCTACACACAACACCCTAACATTGGATAGAATTTAGTATACGTTGTAATGTATTGGATAGAAATAGGGATGTCAAAAGCCCCCGTGGAACCCCGCTCCCGTGGGATCCCGATCCCGTATGGGACTAAATTTTTAAAAAAACCGGGAGCGGGGGCAAAATTAAACCCCGCTTATTTTCGGGACCGGGAGCAGGAGTTGGTATTCCCGTCCCGTACTCTCGCGGGGCCCCGGTTGTACATTTATGTAAAAAATATATATTTAATATAAAATACATATACAAAATAGATTTTCTAATTTAAATGTAGGTTAGGTTTCACTTTCCCGTTTTCAATTAATAGATATTGAAGAGGTAGTGAATTGATCATATATTTTTGGATATGTAAGTATTTTATATTTGTAATATTGGATTTGTTATATTTTATATTTTTAAAATTGATGGAATTGTCGTTTTGTAATATTGAATTCGTAATGTTGAATTTTTAATTGTTTAGTTTCTAAAAGATTATGTTTTAAACTTTTAAAGTTATTAAAAACAAGCTTTTTAGCCTAACACAAAGTAGTCGTTTAGCAAAAAAAAACGAATTTTAAGCGGGGAACCGGGGGAACGGGGGCGGGACCGAGGGTGATGGAGGTAACCGGGAGCGGGACCGGGGGCTATGTAAACGGGGGAGCCGGGGACGGGACCGGGAGCGGGGGCAACAATTGATTTCGGGGGCTACCCCCGCTCCCGTTTGGTCCCGTCGACATCCCTAGATAGAATTTAACGGTTGTTGTATGTTTTTATGTTTTATGCTATAAAATATAAATTATAAGCTTAACAGAATATATAGTATTAAAGGTTGGAGATCAAGATATATTTTCATTTGATACCATCAATTTCCAATAAATCACTCGAGGCTGTTCTCTTCTCTCCAACGATGGCCGACGATCACCATCATCAAAAATCACCGTCAAACCCTCAAAACCCTAAAGTTTCTGGTGAAATTGGACGTAGTAGCAGTCACATTAAACCAAATTACCCGAACCCGCCCGATATAAAAAACCCGGACGCAGCAGCGCTAAGGGAACAATGGAAGTACGCCATCAGACAGTACAGCAAATGGTACTCGCACGCTTGGGGCACCGCTATACTCGCCGGAGTTTCTTTCTTCGCCCTCGGTTGGGTAATTAAAGGAGGTAATCCACTTCCTTCCTTCCATCAAAACGACGACACTTCCCGAGATCCACCCAATTCTCCGACCGATTCTCCTGATGTCAACCGAACTCATTGAATTCCATTTCTAAAGTGAGTCTTAACTCTCAATTCCTTCTTACCTTAGTTGATTGAATTTAATTGCTTTTAAGATTTTGTATAATCATTTAATCAACACCACTTGTATTAAAAAAAAATCTCTTAAAAGCCCTAGCTTGATTATCATCAAGGCATCTCTTAGTTGATTTTAACAGAAATCAGATTTTGGGTACTTTTGAGTACTCCTTTATTTGCTTATAGCAAATTCATGTTCGTATGAACTATCAATTCATATACATTTTGGGGAAACTCTTGTGAAAGATTCAAATAGATTTCATTAGCTGCAACTTGTGTTTGATCAACAATACTTTCTTTGAATCTTAAACCTTTATCTTCTTCCCTGTTTTGGGTTATCTGAATCTTAAACCAGTTTGTACTCTACTTCTAGAATTGATTTTATTCTCAATAAGGTATAATCTTTTAGCTGTAGATACCTTACTAAAAATTTAGGGCAAATTTTATTCAGTTATATTAGTGAAAATTGCTACAATTGGATACGTTTTTCAAGCTACAAATTTTCCCTAATTTAATTTTTGAAGGTGAATTTACCTATCTACCCATTGCCGTTATCAGAATTAATTTGTTATTGTTATTGCTAGCTTCATTGTTGGGTTTTACAAATTGCTTTGTGGAGTTCTTTTTATATATTTGCTCTTTTCCTTGAGGAAATAGTAAATCAGGAATATGTAAAAAAAATAAAGTATATTACTATTATTTGTAAAGAAGCATAAGTTGCTATTAGTGTTAAAAAAATATAAAAGGATTAATACTTATTACAATTTTATCATTGCAGATGTGAGTCATGCTACAACAACGAAAGATAACATAAAAAATTTGAAGAAGTTTACCACCTTGTATAATGTATAGTTATAGTGTAACAAGAACAATGGTAAAGAAGGTTTTGTATGGCTTCTTTAAGTTAACTTGTAAACTCACTTTTTCCTAAAGTATTACCCTTTGTAGATTTTTTTTCATATGGTTTTATGAGACAACTACCCCTACTAGTGCATATGTTTTTGATGAGGAGGATGAAAAGGTCATTTAGGTCTTTTTGTGTAGATGAAAAATCAAGAGTGAGTAATGTCCATCTTATATTTTTGCGTGAGACAAAAATATTATAATTTTTGTAATACAAATGTCGTCTTTTTTTTCTTTCTCTTACGTGACAAACGCTTTCTAGTGTTATATTTGTCCTTTTTTTCCAAGAGCAAGAGAGCAAGTGGTATTATGTCTTGTTTCACCTTTTTAGGGTTTAAATAGAAAGTTACAAAACTAGTATAATAAAAGGTTAATGTCATAAACATGTGACATTATTTTTTCTTTTTATTTATAAAAACCGTTTTTTTAAATAAAAGAATTATATTGAAAGATAAGTTATACTTTTTATTCACAGAATACCATTGTTTTAGTAAAGAATCGCTATTAGAAGATAAGTAAGGGGCTTTTAGCCTGACCATGTAAGATCTAATTGAGTCGATATAAGATCTAATTGAGTTCTCTTTGGGCCTGAATGAATTTAAGTTTGACTAAACCATATTGTTTGATTATGTTTCTAAATGAATGTGATGACTCTTGTTGAAAATAACAATTTTACCCCTTCTGTTTTATTTTTTATTTCGATAAAAGATATCTATTTTTTTAAGTAAAATATTGTGATATTCAAATTGCGATAATTATGACCAAACAATATGCTAAACCATAACATTAATAGTGAAGTCAATATATGTTTGATGGAATATAGGTGAAGAAAGTATAATCCTTTCCAAGATCTTAAAACATGCTATGGAGTTGTGATTTTATTTCTCATGAAATATAAAATAATGGAGATAATATACCCTATGAACACATAAACAACATTATAGATTTGTTTAAAAAAAAAAAACTAAAGTACGTTGCTATGTAGTGCATGTATGAAAAAAGAAAAAAGAAAATGCATTACATCTTTAATAGCAATTTTCACCAATTTCTTTACAATAACCTACATAATCCATCAAACCATTTGCTCCATCTTTAATAGCCTTTTCAACCCTTCTCTTGCACCATCTGGACCTATTGGCATTAAAAAATTCTCAAAATAAGTACATATATGCAAGTATAAACAACACTGATCAACCAAAAACAAATTCATGTATACATTATATTTTCAAAAGTTTAACAAATCATACAAATGTCATCCAAAAACAAAGAAATTTTTGCTGCTATGTATATAGGGTTCATTACATGTAATCAAACGACAAAAGACTGAAATACAAATTTGAACATGTCAAAAGCTTCTACACAATCAAAAGTCACATCATTCTGTTTGGTCCAATATATGAGACATCTCGTTTAGACATTTCATCGAACAGTTTCACTGCATTGCTTTGAAACCCACATCTACCATACATACAAGTTATTTGCCAAGACACCAATCACCCACACAAGCATCCTCTCTTAAGACAATATCAATGAATCTGGTCATCTTCATTGATATCACAAATTACCAATTCGATGGTTGATTAAAATCGAAGGTCTGACTTTTATAAATAAAAAAAACAAACGGAGTTGTATTCATACCTGGAACCGAGGGTCGAAGAAGAAAACCCTCATCTACAAAAATTAAAATAAACAATAATTAACATCAAAGGGAGGTTAGGTGTTCATGGCTCTGTGATTGAAATCAAGGGTTGAAGAAGAAATCCCTCATATGAGGAAGACGACGGCATTAAGGAGGAACACGTTGGCGGAGGCGGAGGAAGGAGACGACAAAGGAAGGAGGCTGCAGGGCCCTTTATCAAACAAGCTGACTGATTGGACAAAGTCAACCAAAAGTGCTGATCGGATCTAATCAGGCAGCCAGCTATATATCAAACACGCCCTAATTAAAACTTTGTTCATAAAATACTAAAAAGTTTGTAATCTGACGGTATCAAATATTCTTCTTTTTTCTTCTTAAAATCGAGAGTTAAAGTCTTGATTTTGCACAAACTACCATAACTAAGTTTTTTACTCATTTATGATATTCTTATTATACTCCTTTACACCAGATAAATTCATATAAACCCTAAATAAATGGTTAAATATTATATTTGTCATGTCTAAAATTTAAATATCCTGTACTAAATAAATATCCAAATTATCATATTTGTGTAAAGAAAAAAAAATAGACATTTTTTAATCATTTGTAATCATTATTTTTATCAAGTTAACTATTATACTTTTATTGTAAATTTAATAAATCTAAGTTTAAAATATTATATATATATATATATATATATATATATATATATATATATATATATATATATATATATATATATATATATATATATATATCTTTTAATTAAAGCCAGTAGTTTTTATCTAAACTAAACCTTAATACAACCTTTTTAACTAAATTCCATCCTAAACTATGTTCTCCATATATAAAAAAAATCCTTTACCAACTTATAAAAACATAAAAACATTTTTCTTTAGATCGTGAACTATGAGTAAAAGAAACAAAGGTGTTTCTTATGTTTGCAACCACATATTTTGACGAACTTATATTATATTTTGCATGTTGGAGAGTGGACCCTGTTTTTTTAATAAAGAGTTCAAAATATAGTGGGATAAACAAGATGTGTACATGAGCTAAACAAGATGTGTACATAAGCTTTGCACCTGTGTTGTGTGTTGTATACTTGGTCAAACAACTATTATCTTTTGCTTTAGTAGTTATCTTTTGCTTTGGTAGTTTCATATTTTCTTGTTGATTTGTTATTTCCCTTTCATCGCATCTGTATTTATAGTCGTTTTGGCATCTAGAATGAAGCATCGTTTTTGTGTGAGAAATACATCAGTGATAATATTTATCATTTGGTATCAGAGCAAATTTTGATCACTAAAGAGAGAGTAGCGATGATGAATGACGATAAGATGAAGGTACCGATATTTGATAGCCATTATGAGCATTGGAGTGAAATGATGGAGAACTTGATGCGTGCAAAACAGGTGTTGAACCTAATTGATCTACAAATTAGAAAACCGATAATTAGGATTGCTTAAAGTGAAGCAGAAAAGAAAAAGTTGGAAGATCTGCAAGTGAAAGATTTGCAAGTCAAACATTACTTGTATCAAGCAATCAATCTGGTTACGTTCGCGCAAAAACTAGATAGAAAAATCTCAAAAGCTGTGTGGGACTCCATGAAGCAGAGATTTGCAGGAAATGAACGAGTGAAAAGACCCATGTCGCAGAAGCTTCGAAGTCCATGACAGGGGCGGAGCCAAAATTTTAACATAAAGGGGGCTTATATCTATGTTTACTTTCGTAAAGCTCTATTGATTTTTAGCCAAATTAGACAATAATATTAGCAAGTTAATAATTAAATCATACATAAGAATAAATACGTATAATCAACAACTTAAAAAAAACTAACAAAATTAATCATCAGAGTAATTGATAACAGTTTTAAATGCCTAATGTGTCCTGCCTCTTTAATTTACTAAAAATAAATCACTTACATTTTAATATTATACAAATCCAAAACGTGACTTTTTTGTTCTTTAAATTTACAAATATAAAATATGACTTCTTTTCATATTGCTTGACAATATATATGGTAAATAAAAAGGAAATTATATTGATTATGATTTTAGAAATAGAATTTCAAATTTAGATTATCATTAGTGAGATTTTTTTGAATCAAAGACATTTATAAACGGTATTATAGATCTTTATTTGTTACGTTATAATCTATTTTCTAACAAAATAGTTTTTCATTTTGAAAAGAGAGAATCCACACAAATGGAACCATACAAGTATTATTAGAGAATCTGTAACTATTTAATATTTAAAGAAAATAAACTAATACTTCTGGGTCGGTGGTGGGTTATATAGACCATCAATTAACAAATTAAATATATTGTGTTATTAATCTTTACATTATATGAATTAAAACAGTTGGGGCATTTTTCTTATGAATGTCCTTACTCTAAGGAGGCTAATTATGCGGGTTTTTATGAGAATGAGGAAGTCACGCTTATGGATGATATACATATGGAGGACAGTGTGTTTATGGCTAACACAACTGTCAAGAACAACGGTATGCTATGGTTTTTGGACTTTGACTGCTCAAACCACAAGTGTGGTAACAAAGACAGATTCATTGATCTTGATTCAAGGTTTTTGAATTATGTTAAGCTGGGAAACAACACACATATGATGGTTGGTGGAAAAGGATGTGTTAGGGTACAAAGTCACGCTTGGATGTGGCTTACCCTCTTGTATGTGTAAATGAGTTGAGTCTTTCCTATAATAAGGAAGTGAGTGACTCTCATTATGTAATGATCATTTTGTGAGAGCATTAGTTTTAGAGAGAGAAATAGCAAACGTATTTGTACTCTTTCTATCAAAAACTAATGAGAGCTTGAATCAGATTTATTTACTCTATGTATTCATGATTTGTATGATGATTCACTAGATCTTTCATATTCCACATTTTTCATCATATATCAACATCACTACAATTGGTATCAGAGTGGGTGTTCTTGATTTGATCAAGAATTGATTAATGATGATATTTTAGATTTGGTGATTCTTTATGTTCTTATTGATATTCGTGTTTAGAGAGTGTTTTGTGTTCTAGAAATCAAAATTTTCCTTGATTTGATCCATAATTTGATTTTCTCTCTCTAGAATACTTGTTTGTACCACTTTCTCTCTCTGGAATTTGGTTCATATTTACTTTCTCTCTCTAGAAAATTTTCAAGTTTTTGTGATCACGGTGTATTTGGCTTATGATTCTTTAGTTGTGATCATTGATTTTCTTGGAGCTCCAATTTCTTGGAAAACCAAGAAACAAACTGTGGTTTCACGTTCGTTAGCTGAAGCATAATATCAAGCCATGTCCATTATCATGAGTGAAGTGCTTTGGGTGCATTGGTTGTTAGAAAATTTACAAGTTTCTCATCCGAGTCCGACTCCTCTCTTGTACGACAACCAATTTGCAATACATATTGCTAAGAATCCGATTTTCCATGAACGAACTAAACATGTGGAAATGAATTGTTATTTTGTCAAGGAATGTGTTGAAACCAAAGAAGTTAAGCATGCTCACAAGTGGCTGACATCTTCACCAAAGCTTTAGGAGTTGAGTGATTGTGTATTTTGCTTAGCAAGCTAGGCATTTGAGACTTACATTCTCCAGCTTGAGGGGGAATGAAGGAATTCACATTGTTATCTTTTATCTTCACCTTATTAATCTATTAAGTTATTATCCTTATTTTGAATTGTGCGTTTATCTCTTTAGAACTCTTTGTATTTAAGCTCCTGAGAGATAATAATAAATAAAGTTTTTTTTATTTACAAATTCTATCTAATAGAAATTGTAAATCGAAGAAAAAAAAAAAAAAAACTTTATTCATTATCATATCTCAGGAGCTTAAATACACAAAGTTCTAAAGACATAAGCATACAATTCAAAATAAGGATAATATATGAATAGACTAATAAGATGATATACAACCCCACCACACACATATTAAGCTAGAAAATAACTTTAATGATTAAATAGACCAATTTTAAATATATTTTGAGATGATTTGTGTCATTATATATATATATATATATATATATATATATATATATATATATATATATATATATATTAAAGCGCATGGAAAGTGTAGCAAGTTTGACTGAAACTTTCCATCTTTATAATTTTAGTATCATATTTTTATTTTTATTTTTTAATTTTGCCACTAAAGTTTCAATAAACTTTTCCTTTTTATAATTTTACCAATTTGTTTTTACCTTCTCATAAATTACAACTAAACTTTCACTTTTACTTCTTTAAACCCTTTTTCTTTATTCTTTTATAATTTTAGCACTTTTTTTTACTTTTTTTTTTAATTTTGCCACTAAAATTTCAATAAACTTTTCTTCTTTATAGTTTTGATACTTTATTTTTACTAATTTTACCACTAAAGTTTCAATAAACTTTCTTCTTTATAATTTTGACACTTTATTTTTACTTCTTTATATTTTTACCATTGAACTTTCATCCGTACGAAGCTCATCCGTACGAGGCACAAGCCTTTTCCTAGTTTCCCTTTAAAAAAAAATACATTGGGCTTACATTGGGCTAGAAATAAATGGTACACAACTATGTACAACACAATACCAATACACAAGCATGTATTAATTAATTATCATTTCATCAATAACTTGATATAAAAAACCCAAGATATTTTAAGGAATAACTCATTTGTTTTTTCAGTCATATTAGTTTAAAATTTTGACGTTTGTATTCATATACAGAGGTTTTAGCTTTTGAGCACACAGACATGAGACCAAAGATTTATCTATTCGGTGACTCCATCACAGAGGAATCGTTTTCCGCCGGTGGGTGGGGCGCCGCCCTCGCCCACCACTTCTCTCGAACGGTATACATACTCCACCGAATAATATCCAAATTTTATCTATCGATTCAACGAATTTGATTCGGGTTTCTATAATCTGATTCGAGGTATGAAAATTTGGTAGGCTGATGTGGTTTTAAGGGGGTTTAGTGGGTACAACACGAGATGGGCGATGAAGGTGTTGGACAAGGTGTTTCCGGCGGAGATGAACGTCGGTAACGGCCGCGCACCGCTGGCTGTGACGGTGTTCTTTGGAGCTAACGATGCTTGCCTTCCCGATAGATGCTCTGCTTTTCAACACGTGCCTATTGATGAATACAAACAAAATCTTCACGCCATTGTCGCCTATCTCAAGGTCCTCTGTATACTAAATCTTTCAGATTTTATTTTGTTGATGTTTAAATACAAATCAGAAATGATTAGTGTGGTATATCTAATATCTATATATTGTTATTAAGGATCGAAGATTAAATTTGAAAAGAATTAACTTTTTATTATAGATTTATGTGTTTATGATTGCAATATATAGCTTCTTTATTGATAAAGTAACATAGAAAGTTTATGTTTTATGTGAATTTTCATTCTGATATTTGTTGAATAATCAATTAAATTGTTAATATTGATCGATTACTTAAGCATCTAAGAATATAATTTCACTTTTGATGTCTAAATCTTTTTTTTTTTTTTTTTTTTTTTTTTTTTTTTTTTAATCTTATTATCTTTTGGTTTGATTGTAGAATCGATGGCCTTCAACTCACGTGATCCTCATCACTCCTCCTCCAATTGATGAAGTTGGACGTCTTCTGTAAAGCTCTATTTTTAATAATCTTGTTATAGAGGGGTTTTAGGTAGAAAAGTCTTATTATTTTGGGAAAACTTTTGATAAAGTCATAAAAGTTTTTTTTGAACAAAAAACTCCCGATTATTTAACATTTTGCCAAAATTAACGAAAAAATCTTTTTTTTTTCTTAAATTTTAACAAGAAATAATAGATTATGTGATTTTTTCAAAAATAATGGGAATTTTCTTTAAAAAAAACATTTAGGACTTTATCAATTTTTTCCCAAAATAATGAGACTTTTCTCATCAAACCCTTTATTCCAGAGTGTACTTTCACTAATTTAGTGATTTAGCCACTTAAATATTTTATGTAGTGATAAAACTATTATACATTGTTTGACCATTAAAAACGTTTTTAGAAAAACAAAACTTACGTTTACCATTTTATTAATTTAGCCACGAAACTATAATTTTTTTTATCGATTTATCCAGGAAACTATTTTTTTTAATACAATAATCATAAAAAAGAATAGTACAATGGCTAAATCAATAAAATGGTGAAAGTACGTTTTGCTTTTTTTGTATGGGATAATGACTTGAAGGGGTAACGAACTTTCGATATTTGTCACATTTAGTCACTAAACTTTTTTTCGTTATCTATTTGCCATTGAACTATTGAAACTGTTCACATTTTACCCTTATGACCGGCTGTTTCAATAGTTCAATGACAAATAGATAACGAAAAAAAGTTTAGTGACTAAATATGAACAAAATCGAAAGTTCGTTTCCCTGTAAAAAGGTAAAAAGTTCAATGACTAAATGTGAACAAACCTCCTCTTGTATTATGTTTTAGCAATTTATTTATTTTTGTTAAATTGTAGCAACATTTGTTGATGAAGAAATCTATGAATATAAAAAAAAAAAACAAAAACAAAAAAAAAACAAAAAAACAAACCCTGAAAATATATTTAAAAAAAAAAAAAAAAAAAAAAAACCGAAACCGAAATAAAAAACCAATGGTTTGACATTTTCCAAAATAAAAAATCAAAATTTCCAATCTGATTTTGGTTTTACAAAAAAAATGAACCATTCTCACTGATGTGAATTATGACCATTGGTTTGGCATGCGAAATTTGTGACATCCCATGAATATGTAGTTACAACATCGTCTGAACTCGTAATTCATAGTAAGGGGTTAGAGTATCATCACATGAATACGTAGTTACAACATCGCCTGAACTCGTAATTCATCACCTACAGGTTATGGGCCTGCTGGTGTTTCCACTGGGTTGTCTAGAATAGTCCGTGGTCGCCATCTATACTCTGGTAGATGACTACATCGCCACATTGCTGGTTAAGGTTATGGTATCTCCTTTCATCCTACATCACATATTCATCATCATCTATTTACCTAATTATCACCACCTTTCTATCATCACCTATCTCTCATCATTTTATTTCATCACACACCAACTATTTCATCTACACATGTTTCATCCGCAACATATTTGTAGATATAAAATAAATATACCGTTTAAATCTTTTAAAACATGTATAAAATGTTCATCCAGTATAGACAACAAGTATTCAAATAATATGCACACATAGTACGTAATCTATATAAAATACTTCATATCTATGTGTAAGATGAAAGTAACTATATATACCATAAATGCTTCCTAACTTTGAACCCCAAGGTTTACTCTACTAAAGCTTCATATTCTCGGCTCTCTGAACCTAGAAGGGTCCAGATCTATCACACCAAAAAGCTCAAGATAGCTCTTCCTCTCACTCTACACACTCAAGCTCGCTAGGGTTCTCACTTATGGGAAAGGTAGTCGCAATTGAAGGCCATAATTGCCTTTAAATATGGCTCGAGCCCAAAGATTTAGGGTTTCTGCCAACAGTGCAGACTCGTCGAGTCGCCTCACCGACTCGTCGAGTCCATTCATTAATCCAAGTCATCAGTCGCGACCTTACTCGACGAGTTGAGGCGTCAACTCGTCGAGTCTCTCTTCTTAACTCAAAAGAAAAATACTTAAATGATGATACCTGGAAATCCGGATGTTACATTTTGTTTTTTTATTTCATAGATTTCTTCATCAACAAATGTTGCTACAATTAAACAAAAATAAATAATTTTGCTAAAACATAATACAATAGGAAGTTTGTTCACATTTAGTCATTGAACTTTTTAGAGGGAAACGAACTTTCGATTTTGTTCACATTTAGTCACTAAACTTTTTTTCATTATCTATTTGCCACTAAACTATTGAAACTGTTCACGTTTTACCCTTATGACCGGTAACAGCCGGTCATAAGGGTAAAATGTGAACAGTTTCAATAGTTCAATGACAAATAGATAACGAAAAAAAGTTTAGTGACTAAATGTGACAAAAGTCGAAAGTTCATTACCCTTTCAAGTCATTATCCCTTTTGTATTTTGCACTTTCTTTTAAAAATAGGTAATTTTTGAAATTGTTTTATTAGAAAAAAAAAGTATAACACTTTAATCATTACAGAATAACCTAAGTGCTAAATCGATAAAATGGTTAAGGTACAAGACTGCAAGTGTTTTTTTTTTAATATAAAATTTCCTTTTGGTCAAACCTAATATATTTCAAATTTGAAATCAGTATTGTTTTTTCTACATTTCTAAAACCAACATTTCTTGTTTATTATGTTTGTTCTTAAGTTTAGGGGTGTAAACGAGCCGAGCCGAGCCCGAGCCTAACCAAGCTCGAGCTCAGCTCGTTTAATTTTGAAGAAGCTCGAGCTCGATTCGAGCCTTAAAATGAAGCTCGAGCTCGGCTCGTGAACAATTTAGTGAGCTCGCGAGCCTAAACGAGCTTATATGAGCCTATATATATATATATATATATATATATATATATACACACACACACACTCTCACACACACACACACACACACACACACACACATATATATATATATATATATATATATATATATATATATATAGGCTCGTTTAGGCTCGCGAGCCCACTAGCTGAAGCTCGGTTCGAGCTCGTTTAATAAATGAGCCTCATATTTGGGCTCGAGCTTGGCTCGGGATCGTTTAATTCGATCTCGAGTCGAGCTTTTAGCGAGTCGATCCCGAGTAGCTCGCGAGTAGCTCGGCTCACTAACACCCCTACTTAAGTTCATATTCACTTGAAAACTTTGTCCCTAATCATAAAACACATTAACCCTTTTAATACCATAAAAATTGCATATTTCGAACATGCTTAAATGATCAAAATATTAATTACAACAAAGTAAGAGAATCTTTTGTGAACTTCAATTATTGTTATCAACTTTTTCAACGACCAAATATGTAAAATATTAATTTAAAAAGTCATTGCAATTTTATTGCTTATATATTAATGGGGACAACACTTAATAAAGTACCATAACTGTTTTTTATTGTTTTTTTGACTTAGGCTATATTTGACATACTAGCTGAAAAGCTAGTTGGTAGCTGAAAAACTAGCTGTTAGCTTATAAAGTAGCTGACAAAAGATGACATTTGGTAAAAACTAGTTGATAGCTGGAATATATAAAATAACATAAAAGGATATTTAGAAGAATATGTTTTTTTATAATTAATTAAGTGTATATTAACAAAAAATTTAAAAAGTTAGCTTATCAGCTACTTTTTGACTTGTCAAACATGACTATCAAAAAGCTCGAAAAAAAAAGCCAATGAAATGAAGGTTTTCCTTTTATTTATTTTGTGAGATATTATTATAAATATGTATGGATTGATTTATGCTTATGATGAATAAAAGTAATTTGGAAAGAATATGCAGACACAGATATGGTGAGATTCACTCAGATCTACCAGAACGGACAAATGAAGCTGCCCGAAATTATGCGAAAGCTTGTGTGACCGTTGCCCAAGAATGTGGGGCCCCGGTTGTGGATCTTTGGTCCCGAATGCACCAATTTCCTGATTGGGGCAAAGCTTATTTGAGGTACTAAAAACACACACACAAACACACACTTGTGTGTTTATAAAGACTAAAGGGAAATTGGAAGGGGTACATATGAAAGAAATAGCAATTGATTTCCATTTATTTGTTTATTATAGTATCTTACTTCCATTTTTTTTTCTTGAGGAATTTATGTTTTTGGTCCCTGACTATAGCTGTTTTTTGCAATTTCAGTCCAAAAGTAGTTTTCTCATGCAATTTTGGTCCTTATTTGAGGTTCTTGTAACATTTTTTTGTCATTGTTTCAAGTAAAATAACTAATTTTGGTCCTTAAGAATAGCTGATTTTTCAATTCTAGTCCAAAAAAAGGGTTTTTTCTCACAATTTTGGTCCTTATTTGAGGTTCGTGTTGAGTTTTCAATCCCATTTCAAGTAAAATAACTGTTTTTGGTCCTTGAGAGTAGCTTATTTTTCAATTCTAGCCCCAAAAAAAAATTCTCACAATTTTGGTCCTTATTTGAGGTTCTTGTTAAGTTTTCGGTCTCATTTCAAGTAAAAAAGAACTATTTTTGGTATTTAACTATAGCTGATTTTTAAAAAATTAGTACCAAAAGTAGTGATTTTGCTTGGAACGATGACCAAAAATGTAACAAAAATCTCAAATATGGATCAAAATTGTAAGAAAAAAACTTTTAGGAACCAAAATTGAAAAAATCAGCTATACTCAGGGACTAATTACAACATTCTACTTTCTGTTTTTTCTTATTAAGACACTCTAATTTGAAAAATATCATTGCTATAATTTGGTAGATCTTTTAAATTACATTGGAAGTAGAATACTATAATTGAGTAGATTTGTCTTAATATGATATATTTGTAAGAACAAAATCGAATGTACAATGTTGCTAATACCTAATAGAAAGAAATGAAAGTAAAAATGCTAGAAATGTAAGTAAGTGTCTTTTTTATTATTTTTGGTCCTGTTTTTAAAATAAAATAAAACTTTAATGAAAGAATGTTTGTTATTTGTTATATGTAGGGATGGTTTGCATCTTACTTTGGGTGGAAACAAGATTGTTTTTGAGGAAGTGATTGGAAAGCTGAAGGAGGTTGGGTTGAGTCTTGAAACTCTTCCAGGTGATCTACCTTTCACTGATGCCATGGATCCTAATGATCCATTGAAGGTTTTTGAAGATTAATTTATCAATTTCTTCTTTCGTTTGTAACTCATATGTGATTCACTCATGTTGTATTTACATTCTAATGTTCACATTATTGGTGTTGTTGTTCTTGGATATGTTTGCTCATATGTGATTCACTCATGTTGTATTTACATTCTAATGTTCACATTATTGGTGTTGTTGTTCTTGGATATGTTTGCATACCAGGTATTCGATGAAATGCCTAGAAGAGATTTTAAAATGTTAGGTTCATTTTCAGATAACTAAAAAATAAGATTAGGTTCATTTTCATTTTAAAGTGATTAACAAAAACCCGGATTCACAACCTACCTCATATCATTTTTGTTATTTATAACTTTTGTCCGAATTTTAATTTCTGTTACGATTTAGTACATTTTTTTTCTATTACTCAATTTTTTATTTTGTAATTTTGTATCCATATGTTTTTAAAGTTTAGTTTTTTTTTTTCTTTACAACTATGTTTTATATGTAGTCAAAATTTTAAACCTTTTTAATATCTATGTTTTTTATAAAATCGTTTTACAACTTTGTGTTGATATGTTTTTTTTATTTATTTATTTTATATCTTCTTTTACAACCTTTTTTTTGTGAATATTTTTTACAAAGTTTTGGCATATTTGTTTTTCTGCTGACTTTCTATAAGATTTTTTTTTTCAATTTTTATTTTTATAAAATTGTTTTTTAACTTCTATTAAATATTCGTTTTATCCATTTTTTTAAAGTTTGTATTATTTTTTGTAACTTTGTATTCATTCATTTTGTTTTCTAATTTCACCCAAATTTTGTTATAACTTTGTATTCATGTGGTTTCAAATTTTTTTCTTTACAACTCTTTCTCTATATGATTGTTTTGATAGTTTTGCAACTTTTATATCTTTTTCACAACCTTTGTTTTTAATGAAATTGTTTTCGTAACTTTTTATTCATATGCTTTTTATTACAACTTTGTTTTTATATATTTTGATATTTTAATAACTTTTATATCAATTTTTACAACCTTTGTTTTTACGAAATGGTTCTTATAAATTTTTTGGCAAAGTTTTTACATATTTGTTTTCATGTCGGTTTCTATAATTTTTTTAGATTCTTTTTATAAATCCATTAACTAATTTCTTTTAGATACTGATTTCCATTCTTATATAATTATAAAAAGAACCAAATTTTGTTTTTTTACATATTTATTTCCATAAACCAAAAATACATTTTTACTATCATGTATAGCTAAACCAAATGGACCTTAAATTATGTTTTTATCTATTATTAAAAAATAAACATAAATTATGTTTTAGTAACACATTTCTCAATAACTATTTCAAATATTTCCTAATACATATAATTAAAAGTCCATCATAAACATGATCACTTAATTAGTTAATCTATCTTTTAACCTTCCAAACGATGATGCACCTAATTTATGTTTTATAAATCTTGCTATCCAATTACTCTAGCATCAGAATAGTTATGCATTCGCAATTAACACTGCTATTTTGCTAGATTTTATGACGAATTTGACATATATTTGCTTTTGCGACAATGAATGACGATTAATAGTGATAAACTGATAATTCGAAATTCAGTTTAGTTTAGTTTACTCCCTATCTTGTTTGGAAGTTCAATTTGTTCAAGCAGTATGCATACATGAATGCAAAGAACACTGCATAACTAACTAAAACCAAAGCCATGGGTCCTAGATATTCATCTTCATATCCAAAATGGCTTTGCACATACTCTTTGATTGTGGGATCTTGTGACATTCCCGCCACTTTAATGGTGTCCTCCACATCACCATATTGTGAAGCAATCAATCCTTGAAAAGTCCATGCTAGTGGGCAAATCCAATAACACCATACCCACCACTTGGGAATTTTCTGAAAATTTCAACAAGTGCAAATTAAATCATATTGAAGCTCTCATATATAGTTAAGGGAGAAAATTATAAATTGGCGAAATAAAATTAAATAAAATTACCGGTCTAGGGATGAAGAAGCCCGAGAAGAGATTAAAGAGCGAATAGAAAGCAGATGTGAGGATGGATGCGAGTTGATCATTAGGGGTGAGTGAAACAGTCATCAGCCCGAGGTATGTGAAGTAGAGAAAAGTAAAAAAGTGTATGAAGAAGAACCATAAGTATTTAGTTGTTGTCCATTCGAAGCTCACCATAGCATACACAATAACAGTATAATATGACGTTTGAAAGAACACGTAAGGTATTTCCACAATTACCTATATACAAAACAAACAATACTTTCTCATTAGGCTTTTGGAACTAAACTACATATACAAAAGGGTTGTTCTTCCAGCAACCCATGAGTTGGCCCACACTGTCCGACCCCAAGAACATCACGTGAGATGTAAATTAGGTACACAGTAGCCTGTTACGTGGCTGGCATAGAAGTGACCTTGTGGGAATTGGGTCGTTGTGTACTTGGTTTACATCTTACATGATGTTTTTGGGGTAGGACGGTGTAGACCAACTCAGGGCATTAAAGAGTTATTCTTCCAACAACCCCTGAGTTGGGGTGGGACAGTGTAGACCAACTCAGGGGTTGTTGGAAAAATACCTATTCTGCAAAAGAGTTATTCTTCCAACAACCCTTAAGTTGGGGCGAGAGAGTGTAGATCAACTTAGGGGTTGTTAGAAGAATAACTATTCTACAAAAGAGTTATTCTTGCAATAACCCTTGAGTTAGGGCGGGACGGTGTAGACCAATGGTTGTTGGAAGAATAACTCTTTTACAAACACAAAAACATGTGTTTGTTCTGTTTTGCATGAATCTGTTTTGTACTAACTTGTGCCATGGCATACGGTAAGGATGAATACATCCCAGCAGCTCTTTCTCGATAAAATATTGTTCGTTCAAAGGCTACTATCGGGAGTACCGTGTTTCCATTGTTAATTCCAGCAAACAAAACAGCACCATACAGACCCCCAAAAATCATCGTCAGGTCAATGCTGCTATCCCTGAAATGAAAAATGACATTGATTTTATTGTTAGTTCTATTTCCTAAGCTAGAGTCTGAATCAAGATTTTAGGGCTATTTTCGATAATAAAGATGAGAAGGACATTTACGTCTTTCAACATCGGTCTTGAGATGTGGTATAGATCAAGTACTAGATACTAACCTTTTGGTACCAACTTTCCAAAAAATGGACCCGATCAAGAGTGCGGTGATAAGGGTGAAGCAAAATCTAACAAGATTATAATCAGGGGTTCTCCAATAGCTCCGCCATTGTTTTTCTATACAAGTCTTGAATTGTCCCCACATGGACTCGGAATATTTTGTGGAGAAAAAAAGTTCTTTTGCTCCTGAAGGAGGCATGCTTAGTTCTTCCACGAGAGCATTATTTCTTCTGCTTGAGGTGATTTAAATTAGATTCAAATTTGAATAAATATAATATTACGATTATATAAATGTTATAATTTAACTTACTGATAAAGGCTTGATGACTTGTAGTGTTGAACGAAATCAATCCCGAGTCGTGATTCTGTTGCAGATGAGGTGACTTCCAACATCCATGTTGCTGGATTTTGATCGTCTACTATTTTTGGTATCCCGGGAATTCCCTAGAAAGTATATTAATGAAAGTACTCGAGTTAGTTTTAGTATAGTATATTTTCACATGGATGTACATAACTACATATACGTGTATGCATATGTTTATACACACGTTTACATCATGTAAATGTGGAATAGGTTAAAAGACGCAGAGAGTGACTTGTGAGTGTAGAATCACTAATAAATAGAAGAGTAAAATAGTCATTTACATTCATTCAGAAGGTTCCTTCGGTCAACAAAAGAAACAAACAATCTTGTTCATTTAGACACAAATCATTTATCCATTCAACACTTTATCCAAACGACAATAAATGGGGAAAAAAGAAACATACCCTATAGAATAATACTCTCCCTAGTTCTTTAATAGTACGTTCAAAATATATTCGAGTATAACGACTTTTTTTTATATTATTATGACATCCTAGTTCCATTTCTTTCTATTACAATATTGTAGTTGTAAGTTTTATTAGAGCATTGTGTTTTGAAAAATCTACCCATTTATAGTATTATGCATACAATTTTTATTTTATTTTATTTTTTATTTTTAGGACATTAATCTCTCAAAAATCTACCTAGTTACATCGGTGAAAATTGTTTCACATTTGATGACATTGCTATAATTAGGTATATATTTTTCAAAGTAAATGGTGTAATAGAAAACAAAAATACGATGACGTATGAAACACATAAATAGAAAGGATGTTCTTAATTCTTCCATCTAATCCAAAACTAAGTGAGGGTAATTTGTAAAAAGTTAGGAATAACACGAAAAGCTTGACTAACTTTCTTCACCAAGTCATTCTTTCTGTATTCGGTAAAAAGAAACATTCATATATAGCTTAACAGATTAAGTCATGTCCCCATTAAATCCATTAAGTAAAAGAGAAACTATACCTCAAGATACTCAACAAGTTTCTCAGATTTTAGACCCAACTCTCCCGCATAAATTACTTCTCCTCCAGTTTTCATCAGTAATAACTCATCAAAAGCTTCAAAAATATCAACACCAGGCTGATGAATAGTGCAAACAACGGTTCTTCCCGTGTTCACTGTATTTCTCACTGTTCTCATAACAATTGCTGCTGCTCTTGCATCAAGTCCAGTTGTTGGTTCATCCATAAATATGATTGAAGGATTAGCAACAAGCTCTACTGCAATTGTCAATCGTTTTCTTTGTTGGGTTGATAATCCTGTAACTCCAGGAATCCCTACAATCATGTTCTTAAGATTGTCTAATTCAACGAGTTCCATCACTTCATCCACAAAAAGCTGATCATAAAATTATATATAAAAAAAGAGTATTAGTACTTTAAAGCTACATCTTTCCATATATGGGTAATATCACTAAATAGCAACCACGTTTTTTAATGTTTCACCTATCTACCTCAAATTTTTTCTTCAAAATGTGTAACTACTCAACTTTTAGTTTTGTTATATTATGAGATTTTCAATTTTTTTCGTGCATTCATTACAATATTTACCATTTGTTAATGTAGATATATGACATGACTAGTTTATTCACACATTTTATGTTAAATTAATGATAACCAAGTTTCAATTTGTTCCAATGTTTTCATATTTTGAAATTTTAGTTGAATTATATTATTTTCCAAAAGGAAATATATATATATATATTGGGGGGGGGGGGGGGGGGATGATATACTATTTATTTACATAGGATGATCACATTAATTCAAATTCATAATATTTACTTTGATTCTGTCTTGAAAAATATTGTGATTTTTTAAATCGATTCTTTTGTTAAAAAACATTAGTGTAGACAACTCTCATATGTCTATGCCAGTGTCACATCAACAGAAAGTACAAAATTTTATAACAATGGAGCAAAAAAAAATATAATTTCAACGTCATGCAACCTATACGGTCTACTGCATAATAAAAAGGACATTGTATTATTTTGTGTTATAAAAAGAATAAAGAAAATAAAAAACGTTCTTGTAGTTGATCTCCTGAAAAAAAAAACGTTAGTGTATACTTTGGTCAAACACCCTTTCAAGTTGCAACCTCTATTAATATTATTAGACATAATAAAAAGTGCTTGTTCTTTACCATTTTTTCTTCTTTATTGATATCTTTGGGAAGTCGAAGGAAAGCCGAAAAAATCAAAGATTCATAGACAGTGACTTGTGGTGAATGGATGTCATTTTGTTCACAGTATCCCGAAATCCTAGTGAAAGTTTCTTGAACTTTAGGGAATCCCGAGATTCTAATATCACCTTCTACATATCCACCTGTCTTTCTTCCTGCTAAGACATCCATTAATGTTGTCTTTCCTGCTCCACTAACTCCCATCAATGCTGTTAGGATTCCAGGTCGAAAGGCCCCACATACTTCCTTAAGTAATTGGAGCTTGTTGTCTGTAACACCTTGTTCTTTCATTGCCTAATAAAAAAATTAATTGTATATATTACAATATATAAAATTATATATTAAAAATATGTAATGAAATAAAGAAACATACAAAAATTAATATGTACGTAATTTTATTCGTAGAGTAACAAAGCAAATGAATGAAACTAAATTTCACTACATTTTTAGTCAATGAAATTACATGTGAATTTCATTAAATGACTCAACATATGAAAAATATGTACTTACGAGGGGCATATCCACATAATAACTTATGTTATCAAAAGACATGGAGAGTGGAGCGAATGGAAGAACCATTCCTCTTTTGGGAGCCATAACATCCGTAGCTTCATGACTTGAATCTTCATTTATATTTTGGTTTTTATGAATGACCGATTCTCCTGAGAAAATAACCAATTTAAAGGAAATCTATTGTGAACAAAACTTTTTGTTTCATATAGAGCAAAAAGTGGGAACTAGCAACATTCTTTATTCTTGCTATCAATATGGGAATATACTTAATTTGTACTTTTAGTCTTATATTCTTTACAAATATTAGCAACATACTTACATTTTTAACAATAAAAGCAATGTACTATATGTTTACCCTTATTATTAATGTATTTACAAAATTTAACCATAATTGCAACGTATCTACATTTTAAACCATAACAACTATGTAATTTATTATTTCCTATTATCAACTTACTTATATTTCACGACCAATATGGACAATGTACTTTATTAATTTGTTACATATTGCTAATATCGGAAGAAAATATGTAAGTATGTTGTTATAAAGGAAAATGCAATGTAAGTATGTTACTATTATGTAGTAATGAATGTAAGTATATTGTTATCAAGGGTAAAAATAAATATCTAATTTTCCCATTTGTATATGAATTATTCCTTACTTGAGGTCTTTGCAACCGAAACAGATATAGATATCTTCTCTTCTTGAACTATATTTGCTTGTGGCTTTCCGGGAGCTGATATTGCAAAATAAAAACGATAAAAATATGTTAAATGCAACATGTGGCTCGATGTTATCTTGGTCTAAAAGATCATGTAGAACTTACGAGGTAAATATGCGAGAGCTAAAGTGTAGAGAATGTTGAAAAGGATAGCTAAACCAAGAAGGGCAGCTGATCCTATCCAAAACCAGTTTTGATTAGGGTTTACTCCAAAGTTTTGTAAAACCACTACCCCCAATTTTGTAGAATTGTCAGATCCCTGAATTCAAGTAAATAGTTACTTTAATTTTGATTGATAAAACTAAGGTTGCGTTTGTTACATGGGATATGACTGGATTGGACTGGATAAGCTTTCTAGGGATAATTTTAGTAACAATGATGAGAATGACATTTATGTCTTTTACATAGACCAGAGATGGAGAACGAGTTCGTTTCCCATGCTTTTAGAGGGACAAAAAGTAGCAATTTGTCCATGGGAGGGAATATACGTCTTTTGCACAGAAGAGATTCTTGCTCTACCTTTTTAGTGGAAGCAAAAAATTTGTAATTATTGTTCATGAGGAGGGCATTCATGTCTTTTGCATTGATAAGAACGCTTTCCGACCTTCTTTAGTGGGACAAATATCTATATCCATTAGGAATGCATTCACGTCTTTTGCACGCAAGAGATATTAAGGGAAGTGTCTGTCCCATCTTGTGAAACATTTTTAATGGAAGCATAGAAATTGTAATTATTTTTCCATCAGAAGGAAATTCACATCGTTTGCACAGACGAGAGATCAAAAGTGAGTGTCCCACCTTTTTTATTTGAAACAAAAGTTATTATTATTTTCTATGAGGAGGGCTTTCACTTCTTTCTGTGTGATAAAAAAAATTATACTTTGTGTTATTGACATGAGTCTAAACCTAGTGCAATGCAGATCAAACACAATACAACTAGTATTTGGTACGTAACAAATGGGCCCACAGAATGAAATGTAAAAGTGACATACCAATTTATTCATCCACCTTGGAGAAAACATTTCATTTGTAGTTAAAGCATTAAAACCATAGCTTAATGGTGAAACCCAATACGCCCATTGCCACCAGTCAGGAATTCGACCTATTTACAAAAGGAATCATGTTGTGCAAACTCCATTATTTTTAAGTTGTACTAGATACTCATATATCAAAAAATAATTTTATTGAAGTACCAAAACTATTGTTTATATTTCTGTAAAAAGGGTTATTAAAGTATCATATCATGTGAGATGTTAATAAGGTACTACTAACCTTTAGGAAGGACAATACCACCCAAAAGGAAAGTTGCTTCTAGAATGAGAGTTCCAGCAGTGTTCGCTATAGTCATTGTTCTAGAAACTGCAGCAATAAGTCTGAATATTCCTGAAGCCATTTGCTGAATCAAAAAGGTCAACAAGAAGTGCTTGAAAAACCTGAAAATGAGACAAGTTTTCTGTTAAGTCTTCCTTTTTTGTTTCTTTAAAAACATATTTATTGATAACTAATAACGAAAATATAACCCTATTCTTTTTTCTTTTTATGTTTATCCCATTAAGTGAGTTTTGGATAGATAATGTTTAACAAAATATATGAGTAAATGTTACACTTAGAAAACGGAAAGAAAAAAATAAACGAGGGAATTGTTTTTATAAAACTTAGTCCTCCTCTCTATGACTCTATTTACTATTTAGTCGATCTTTTTTTTTTGGCTTAAGTCAAAAGAAACACTCACATACAACTTAATACAATAAGTCACTTATGTAAAAAAAAAAAAAAAAAAAAAAGAGTAAATTACACGAAAGGTCCCTATGGTTTGGGGTAATTTGGACGTTTGGTCCCTAATTTATTTTTTTAACTCGGAAGGTTCCTACTGTTTGTTTTTGCTACGCACTTGGTCCCTACTGTTTGTTTTTGTTACGTGTTTGGTCCCTATCTTACCTAAAAATACTATTATTAAAATATAAAAAAATTATGGGGTAGGTAAGATAAGGTGAGGGGGATAAGGTTGAGGGTGTGTTTATTTAAATAAATTAAAAAAATAATGCGAAAAATAGTATTTTTAGGTAAGATAGGGACCAAACGCGTAACAAAAACCAATAGTAGGGACTTTCCGAGTTAAAAAAATAAGTTAGGAACCAAGCGCGCAAATTATGCTAAACCATAGGGACCATTCGTGTAATTTACTAAAAAAAAAAAAAACAACACCCACATACCTACTAGCTTCAGGGGCAAATCCAATGGTATAATACGTCAATATTGTCCAAACTGTAGACTCCACCAATGAGATTGGCACACGTAGTAAAATAGTAGGAACAGTAAACGCCCAAGTTGGATGAAAAAAGAGCTCTCTATGCTTATACAACACTGGAAGCCTCTCTATAGTGAGTGGAAGCTCAGGAAAACCATTAAACATATTCGTGATCAATGCAAACAAAAGAGCTCCTACATAAATTGCTCCATCTTCTTCATTTCTAGAATGCATTCGCGTCCTTAAGAACATTGTTGCTCCAATAATTGCCACGAAGCTAATTTGGAGAGTTTTGGCTATATACACGACTGCAGTCCTTTTAATCAATAACTTTTCTTTGTCGAAAGAGGCCTTAAAGAGGTCTTTTTTAGGGACTAAGTACTTTTTGAAGACTAGAGCTCCTTTTTGATTCCGGGATTTTTCATATGGCATGAGTAGATCGTTTTGTAGCGTTTTCCCAACATGAAATTGCTTGAAATGCTCGGAGAATTGAGAGACTGAAATGTAGGTGTATGGTTTTCCTTTATTGGCCCAATATTGTTCTTGATCCTTCTTAGATATTACCTGTTAAAATCACAAGTTTTATATCTATATTGCATATTTTACACCTCTTGATTTTACATAAAAAAAAGTTCTATGTAGAGCCCTTGCTTTTTTTATTTAACTTTTATTTTATACCCTAATCACTTTAATATGTTACGTAATTGTTGTGAATATATAAGAAATGTGATATTATTTTTAAGACACCATTCAGAAGACCTTGTTTATACGTTTATGAGGAAACCAATATTGATTATTAATGATATTAATTATAGTTTACTTTTATATATAAAAAAAAGTTTAAGTTAGTTTTGATTTAATATAAGAAGTAATTAGTATTGACAGGCTCACCGCATATTATCATTTTATTCTCAGTTTACTTCAATCTGTATTGAAATGTTTTGGGTTTGGAAGCATAGTAATTAATAAAAATAACCAAAAAATATCCTTTTTAGTTATATTTAATATTAAAAATAAATATCAGTACTTTCAAAACTATACCACTGAGTATTATTAATATTTGTTTTTTTAACTTGTTCAAGATGCTAAACAATAATTCTTTTTGTTTTTGTTCTATGTTCAACAAAAAAAACATATGATAAATAAATAAAAGTGGTCGTATTTATAAACTTTTCAAAGTTTATCATAGTGGAGCTAGGTTTACAAAGGGTAGAGCTTTATGTATTGTTTAAGTGGTACATTTTGATGGTGTCTAGACTTGCAATTCCAATGTCGATCCTAGAAATTGTAATGTACTTTCATTTAATAGAATAGATGGTTACCTCTTGTAAGAAATCGGCAATTCCCTTTCTTTCTGGACATGTGAATCCTAAGCTTTGAAAAAACTCGACAATATGCTCTCTTGGGCCTTGATATACAATTTGGCCTTGTGATAAGAGAATTATATCATCAAATAGATTAAAAGTCTCAGGAGAAGGCTGTAGGAGAGACATCAAAATGGTGGTTTCTGTAAAGTGTGTTATCTGTTGCAAGCACTTGACTATCTGAAATGTCGTTGATGTGTCTAGGCCCGATGAAATTTCATCCATAAATAGTACTTTTGTTGGCCCAACAATCATCTCTCCTGTTTTTAATCAAATGTTAGGCCAATCGACTGTTGTTTCTGTATTTGTTTTGTGTGCTTAAATTCATAGTACAATTCAATAGCATAACTTAAACATACTAAAATTAGTTTATATGTATTTTAAATTTGTTTATTAGATGAAGCTAAGTTAGTTCTACACCAACATGAATGACTTGCTATCAACAACCTTGCCTTGGGTGTTTATGATAACTTGTTGGAGTTTAGAATCATAGTCTACTTCAATACCACAAGATATTAAAATTAGTTTTGCACCATTTTAAGTATATTTCTTTTTGTGTGTAAAAACAATGTTTTTTGTGTGTTATAGTGCTACGATGACATTGTTATACTGCTACATTGACATAAATGGCTTATTGTCAACAACAATGTGCTTATTAGTCCTTTTTAGCTCTTAAAGTTAATAATATACTTCAAAAAAAAATTTAATGATACTAAAAGTTGGTTTTCACTACTTTAAGTCTCTTTATTGTGTGAAAACAATATTGAATTGTGTGATAACAATGCTACAACATGAATTACTTGTTGTTAGCACTCTATGTAACTATCGTTTTAATGTATATTTTTATTTTTTTCTACCTAAATTCATAGTACACTTCCAACTAGTATAACTGTAAGGATATTAAAACTAGTGTTGCATTATTTTAAGTTTGTTTGAAGTTTGTTTGGTGTGTAAAAACGTTGTTTAATTACATGAGAACAGTCTTATAATAACATGAAAAATACATTCTTATACAATCTTATGTTCAAATCAATGAAACATATTCTTTTTATACATTTGTAATTGGTTATTTTTGTTTAATTATTTATAGGTCCAACAAGTTATTCATGTGTTATATTTATGTTAGTGGGTTAAAGGAGATTATTCGGCTATAGACTTTCATGGGTTTTCATTGAATTAAGAATTGGCGACTAAAGTTGACGGGTGAAAAGTGTCAAGATGGTTACATTTGTTTAAATGTTCTGCATCTGTTTCTTTTAGTGATGTGTTAGTTGTTGATTTATCTATAAACGTTTTATTAACCTTAAATCTATTTGGTTTTACTCTAAAACCTTTTCTTATTTATATTTTGAAATAAAAGTATTTTCAATTCGTTAACCATCGTTTTAATATCTGTTCAGAATCAATTCTTTCTGCTCCTTCAATTCATGGTAAAGATCACTAATTTAATGTTAAAATACATTAAAATTAATTTTTCACTTTAAAAAAAAAAAAAAGATTTCTTGGCTCTCAAATTAAAGAGTGCAACCATTTGCTTATGATATTACCGGTTGTTAGTCGTTTTTTCTGTCCTCCAGATATTCCTCGTATCATTTGGTTTCCAACAACAGTGTCCCGACATATCTCAAGTCCGAGTATCTATTTTTTTAAAACCAAAATAAAACACATAAGCTAGGTTCAATAAAAAGATATATCTTGTGGCATAATGTTTTTAGAAGCAAATAATATATTAGGTCCTTTTTTTTTTTTTTTTTTTTTTTTTTACCTTCTAGGTAAATGATGCTCCCTTGATATATATATATATATATATATATATATATAATATATATATATTATATATATATATATATATATATTCAATAAAATGATGGTCCAGGTTGTGCAAATCTAATGAAGAAATAAATGAGAAATTTTGTAAAAATGTAGGTTTTTATTATGAAATTCTTACTTCCTTGATTTTCTCTATTAATTTCTACATTTAGTGAAAAATAAATATTAATTTATAATTACTTGATTAAGTTTTGTTATAATCAATCCGATTAAGTATAAACAAAACAACACCTAAGTTTTTTTTGTTATCTAATTTTTATGCTAAAAGTTCTCCCGAACATACCTTGATAATGTATTCAGTAATTAGATTATGCTCAACGCCTTCCATTGCGGTAGCCTGAATTACGAACGATCATTAGGTCATATATTATAAAATATCATTATACTATGAAATTTATAAATGTTGATTTTATGATCTCTAGCTACTACCTTCATGAAGAGGTCAACCTCTGGTTTTGGAGACACGTTAGCATGTTTTTCTCCCTTGTCAAGCTCGTTCAGTAATTCTGCAATAAATATCTTATTATCAATGAGTTCTCCCTACGTTCTAGGATTAAATGCTAGAAATAACAATACATTTTCTTTATTTATGCATTATAGCATCTTATTTTTGTTTCTTTCTATTTCACCATTGTACTTTAGATTAATTTTTAACATTGTTTTATTTATTTATATTAATATAAATTATAATTTACAAGTAACCATTTCCTACTATTTATTTAGTGCTCTATATTGAAAAATCATAAGTTTACTTTAGATTCAAACTTTAAAATATAACTTGTTAATATTATAATATACATTATTTTGTAAATGTCATTGAAAAACAAATTGTGAAAAAGGTATCCAACCGAATTATAATTTGGTTGGTTTGGATCATATTTTATTTAATTCAAACTATTTCAGATCATTATTTAGAAAATTGAAATGAATTTGAATTGATTTAATCCTATCAGATTGAACTGATCCATCCAAACAAGAACCCTAAACAAATCAATATATGAACAATGCTATATATTGTACAAAAGCCAAAGTTGGGTAAATGAAATAAATAACAACATACTTTTATTTATTTGTGGTATATAGCGTCCTACTTTCATTTCTTTCTATATCTTATTAAGGCGATGTACTTAGAACATTTTGTCTAATTTTAACATTTTACACATCCAAAAATTTTCTTATTAAGACGTTATCTTTTTATAAATTCACCCAACTATAGCGGTGAAAATTGCTTTGTGTATACATGTTATTGCAATAATTAGGTAGAATTTTCAATGCACTAGGAAATGAAACTAGATGCAATAATTTACAAATTGATAGAAGTAGGATTCTATTATTCTCACATTTACCCAAAAGTTAGCATAAATACAAAAAATAAAAACCTAATTCCAAGTTTTGTATATTATAGCATTCTACTTTCATTTTTTTAGAACATTGTAGTATTGTTTTTTTTATTAAAACATTTACTATGAAAATTTTATCCAATTTTAGCATTTTAATTTAATTTAATTTTTTATTATTAGAAATTTATATTTTGAAAATTCTATCCGTTTATGATAGTGAACATTACCTTCTTTAGATGATATTACTATAATTTGGTAGAATTTTTAAAATACAATGCTTTAATATAAGAAATGAAAGTTGAGTGCTATAATAAACAAATCAATAAAAGTACATTATTATTTCTTGTATTAACTCTTTTGAAACCGTTAAATACCATATCGAGATCCAACTCCTTGGCACCGAGCTGAAAAATCTAGTGTTTCTTTTACTGTCATTTCTCCTACATGAACATCAGTTTGACTGATATATGAAGACGTCCTTTGTGGGACGAATTCCTTAAGGGTATGCCCATTGTATGTCACGTTTCCTTCAACCTGCTCAACATGTATATTTACCAAAATATATCATTGAAGTAAAAGATCGTATTTGTTCCAAATAATCTATGAAGATTTCCATGAAGTTATTTCTCAAAAGCTAACCGTTAAACCTGGGTTGGCCCGACCTGCCAAAGCCAACAATAGAGTCGTTTTTCCAGAGGAGGGCGGACCTAGTAGAAGAGTCATCCTTTTATAAAACAAAATTAAGTTTTTGTTAACTTCTATTATATTTTAATGTGGAACAACAAAATAGATAAAGCATAAAAGTATTAGAGATCTTTGTAGGTATGTCACCGTATGTGTTCGATGAAGAGTAAATGTATGTGTTCGATGAAGAGTATATAGGTAAGGAAGGCATTTATGTCTTTTCACAAAAAAAAAAAGCAATTGATGCAAGTATCACTCCTACCTTTTTTACATGGGATAGAAATATAATTTTTATTCCATTAACAACAACCTAGTTTAGTGCAAGTGCACAACTTGTTACGTATTGTCTTGTGCCCAAATGGGCTTTGTGTAATTATGTCAAAAATGAAAAACCACATAATAAAAGATCCAACAATGTCGGATGCATAGGAAAAAGGGTTTTGCCATTTTCGCATGTCCATTGGGCTAAATTCCATCATTTGGGGGTCGTTGACTTTCTATATTTCTACAAAATTTGTAAATTCAATGATTTATGTTTATCCTTTTAAAAGTACATAACGTAATATTGACTATACTTGTATCAAGCTTTATCTTAGGTACGAAATTTGAGTGTCTTGGGAATAATTTAAAATGTTTGCTCGAATCTTCCAAAAGAGTGTTTGTATGCATACAAGTTTTGAGCAAGATTAAAGGTGGCTTTTATAGCATGAATGAAGAACATACCTTGAAGGCTTGATCATCCCAGAAACATCATCAAGAATTGTAATCTTTCCCCTCTTTGATAATCCAATACCAAGAAAACCAAAAACCGTGTCTGTAAGGTTCCGTAGAGTGTTTGTCAAAGTCGGTATAGATCGGTTACCAACAAAGCAATTAGCTTTCATTGTTAAATTCTTGAAACGGACTTCTACTGTTGGAAGAGTAATGCCAACCCTGTATCAACATAATATAGAATAAAAAGATTAATATATTCAAAAACATTGCAACGACTATCAAAGCCACATTTGTTATGTATGTGATAACTATACTAATGCAAAATAACATCACAAAACCAATGCAAGGTTTGGTGTGTATTGGATCAAGGCTAACTAGGGATGAATCATGTAACTTTAATGACATGAGGGATGGTCCGAGATAATGTTTGAAAATAAAGGCCGAACTTATAAATCCGATTCTTGTTTCGAGTTTTTCAGGTAAGGTCAGATTCATGAGTGGTGTGCGACAGCATGGATTGGAATTAGATGGTGGAGTGTTTCATGATCTCGCCAGATCCACCTATGACCTACTAAAGCAACAACAACGGTGATCGAAGAGGTCTAGGCCGTCGAAAAATGCTTGAAAGAGAAATAGAGGAGAAAGAGGTTGTCGAATCGAAAGAGAGGAAGAGGGTGGTGAGATTGAGGGAGAAAAAGCTGGTGGGAAAAGGGGAGGGGAGGGGTAGGGGTTAGGCGTTTATTTTATTTTATTTTTTAATAGTAAAATAAAAATGAAAAAGTAATTATTATGGAAAAAATAATCATTTTATGTCCACAGGAAAGATCTGAGTGAAGAAGTAGTCCAAGTTAATTTTTGAAAAAAGAAACTATGGTTTTTTATACCAAATAATGATTCATATAATTTACTTTAAATAAAAATATTTAATATTTTCTATCACGTTAGCCTTTAAAAGAAATATTACTATCATAATCACACAATTTGTTAGAGATATACAACAAATAAATTGGTACATAATATATGTTTATGGCATATAATAAAATTTTAAAATGGGAATAATGAAAATGAAATAAATATTACATATGTAAGTGGTTAGAAATTAAAAGTTGAATGGTTGTATTTGATAATTACAAAATAAGTTTGTGTACGGTGGATCCAATTTCTTTATTGTTACAAACTAATTAAAAACTAATTCTTTTTTTTTTTCTTTTGCAAAAAGGTGTAATTTTACAAATAATAATAATAATAATAATAAACTGTTTTAATGTGGTGTTTGTTATTTAGGACCAAGGTTCTAAAAAGATATTAAATGTTGTTATGACTAATTTTTGTATTTGTTCTTTTCAACAAAATGAGGCCTTAAGTGATATACACACACAAAATTATGGTGTTAAATCAGATTTTACAATCGACTTGAGTTATCACGACTTGTAAAAGTTTAGAACTTAATATTGCTGCCAAATCATGCTTAACTTATTAGAGCTACAATACTCATCAGAATCCTTCTCTACATGTTGTGTATACGTGTCAGAATTTTTTTACATGACATGAATTTGACAATCACAAATTTGTTAAATACGTACACGACACAAATTATAAATTGAGTATTGGGTATCAAATACGAACAAGACACCTAATTAATTTGTTTGACATGTGATACTACACGAATGGATAAGTTTTTAATTGTTTTACACGAAAATGCATAGAAACATGAATCTAAACAAATTTAATTTTTGTCTACACTTGTCCTGTGGCACGTCTTTATACGTGTTGCCTGTCAACACGAATTTTATTTTTGTCTATACATGTTTAGACATGTAAAGTAATGTTTGATACCCATAAACCCCGAAACACATATTTCTAAGACATCTATTTAGAAAACTCGTGTTGTGTTATTTGTGTCGTGTATCAAATTGCCGGGTTTAAGTTGATTGGAAACATGACAAGCTTTGAAACGATATTTTCAATAAAAAAGATAAGGACTACATGCATTCATGTCTTTTGCACGACAAATTAAAGAGCTACAAAAGAAATTGTATGTTTGTTCTCATTAATATTACTCCATGCATTCGTAGAAAACATGGCCTAAAAGTTGTTTGAAATTAGAGATGAAAACAAAAAAGGAACCTGTGGAATCTTTCTCGTAGCTCCCTCAAGAACCTGTCATTATCTACTTCCACAACCTTAAACAACTTATCGATAATCTTTTGGTGGTCATCCACACCGAGGTCTCTTACATCAACTTGTTTGAGGATTGTATCACCTTGTTGGTTTTCAATGTCTTGTGTAGCATAAGACTCCATGAAAGCAGTCCTTAAACGATCAAAAGTGGGCAGGCTATCTAAAGCTGCCCGTTTTGATCCATGTTCATCTTCCTCAGCATGATTGCTCCTTTTGCTATGATCATCTGGACTCACATACAACTCTTTCATCTCCATCTCTTCTCTTATGGTTTATGACAATGAAACTGATAATTAAAGAGATCAAGTCAAATACATAGTTTTTGATTTTTGATGGAAGTCTAGTGATAACTTGTGTGATATATAGAGTATGCCGGTTTATGTACATGACGAATGAAACTAGGCAATACATACAATAGCATAAGCCAACCTGGGTCATTTATTTAATAATATTCTTGGGTGGGGTCGCTGATAGGGAAACTTTTTATTTTTATTTTGTATATTTAACCGGGAAAATTGCGAAAAAGAATAGTAGTGTACATCAGTATATCATTGCCTATTCGATCTAGAGGTTTTTATCGGTTTAATCCGGTTTAGGTCCAATCTTATTTAGGATCCGGAGTCTAATCCGCTTTTGAATTTGAAATACCGAACAATTTTCAATCCATTTTATCGGATTATTAGATTTGCTTTGGTAAAAACCGATTTTAACCGGATCCGATTTACTGATCGAATCGGATCCATATTTGGGTCCAACTTTCTTATGCATCTCAATATATATCACTCTCCTATTGATTCTGCAAATATATTAATGTTTTTCCATAATTGAAAGATAGTTATATTTCTAGATTGATGATGAGAATGTACTTCAACCCATAAGGAAAATCTACTTATATTCTTTTACCTATAATAATATCATACTAATATTTTGTTACCATTATGGACGGGACTTTATTTTACTTGTTACATGTGTTATTATTATAGATGAAATGTAAGTATATGTTGCTATTATATGGGTGGGTAAGAATTTGCTAGCCAATTGCTATAATTGTCAAAAAAAAAAAAATGTATTTATGTTGTTATGAACTATATATTGTTATAATTGCCAAAGAAATGTAAGAAGTTGCTATTATGGGAAAAAGAAATTAAATATATTGTTGTTATATGAAAAATGTATATTATATTGGCAAAAAAGTAAAGCATGATGTTCATTTTTTTTTTTTTAAATTTACCTTTATATATAAATTGTAATATATATGTTTATAAGAATTTGACACATATTACAAAGGCATGCTATTTTAGATGATGAGTTGAATAAACCACACGAGACTTCGTACATTGTTTTGTTGGTTTATTTGGAGTTTGTCATTGTAACGGTCGAATAGAGTCCAAATTGCTATGCTGTAGATGATGGAGTCGTCCGGAGTAAAAGTCGCCGTTAACGTTGTTTTTAATTATTTGAGGCATGTCATTGTTTATGACGGTCGTTAGTCGGCGAACGAATCTTGTTATACCGTTGGAGTTTACTATTCTCGGTGGATACAAAATAAGTATATAGGATTCTAAGAATTTGTTTTGTCACTTGAAATGCACCACAATCTAATAGAATGAACATGATTATGTAATGAGTTCGTTATATTGATGATGATTTAGTTCATTTCGTAGGAATAAGTTAATTTTATATAAAGGTTTTGTATTATATGTAAATACATACCATATATACTCTTAACTCTATTTAATATTTTAATAAATTATAAGCAATGATCTTACTATTTATATTTATAGAAATAAAGAAGTGAACGTTAAAAAAATTATTAGAATTAAAAAATCTTTTATTAAAAAATATATTTTTTTGTCTATTTTTATAAAAACAATCAAAACTATTTTATTAGAAAACTAGTTGTGAGATTCATATATTATATGAGTTAACTTAAGAAAAAAATTTAAATATAAAAGTTAAAATATATGAGAATTTTGAATTTATAAGAAAATAAGAAAAAATTTGAATTATCATAATATAAATGTTTTTTATCTTTTAAATTTAAACAAAAATACTAATTTAAATAAATAAAAAAACTAATAAATTTTAATTTTGAAATTAAAAGGTAAGTTCATTAATGAAATTGATATATATCAATTTATTACTATATTTATTGCAATTGTTATATTAAACTATTATATAAAATTTAATAAAATAAAAAAAATGATATGTGGAAAAAAAATAATCCAAAATAATTACAAAATAACATTTAATAAATTGAATGAGAGTTTAACAAATGATAAAAAAACCCTTCGTTTATTAGAAATAAATAGTTAGCGAGAAGGCGAAATACATCAAATACGAGAGACCCAATTCAAATTATTACACCAATCATAAACCGCTATGAGTAGGATACTTGATCTAAACAAATGCATATAATGGCAACTCGTTGGCTAATTCTCGACTATTTCTAACTTTGTTGTTAAATGTGCAGTCATTGTTGTACTTCCATAAACCAACATCTCTATAATCACATTCTTCATGTTTGCTTGACTGCTTTTATTTTTAGAGTAAATTATAATAATGGTCTCTATGCTTAAGGTAATTTGCGCGTTTGCTCTTTAGTTATTTTTTTAACTAGGAAAGTCCCTAATATTTGTTTTTGTTATGCGCTTAGTTTCTACTGTTTGGTTTTGTTACGCGTTTGGTCCATATCTTACCTAAATAGACTATTATTTAAATAATAAAAAAATTGTGAGATAGGTAATGTAAGGTGATTTGGGGGATGTGTTTATTTAAATAAATTTAAAAATCAAGGGCAAAACTGTTTTTTAAGTAAGACATTGACAAACGCGTAACAAAAAACAAACATTAAAAATCTTCCGAATTAAAAAATAAGTTATGGACCAAACACGCAAATTACCCTAAATCATAGGGACCATTCATGTAATTTACTTTTATTTTTATTTTTCACATGGTATCAAGGTGATCTCGAATAGCTGATCGTTGGATTGAGGGGAGTTGGGGATGTACCACCACTTGTTCATTAAGTCCATAGCTTCCTTCACCATGGACTCATGGAGCAATGTTCATTTGGTTGCAGAAGGACAAAGGATAGATTTCATTTGGTTTCACTATGGACTCATGGAGAAATGTGTTTTTTACCTTTTGATAAGCATTGCACACTCTACAAAGGATAGATTTCATTTGGTTGCACAAGCAAATGAAAAAAGAAAAAAAAAAAAAAAAAAACAGACGGAATAAAGCATTTAATTTCATTCTTACGGAATGAACGATTAGTATTTCCCAACTTCCATCAAACCAAGCTCTACAACATTTACCATATTACATATCATTATAAATTTCATTAAGATGTCAATAATTCATAAATTATTGCTATAATAGTCTCTTTCCATGCTTAACACCTTATATTTGTCTTATGAAGAAGACATGCACTAATAGACGAATATCATGTTCGCTCTTATCGATATCGTAAAGACGTTAATATCACTTCTCGGAGATTTGGATTCCAGTTCATGTCATGTTATGAAAACTTGACTTGAGACGATATCTATGTTTCGTTTTCAAAGTCGATGTCGGAGGGTCATTTTTATCGCACAATATCAACTTATGATATATTCGATCATTTTTAAATTAAATTTATCAACTTATGATACATTCGATCATTTTTAAATTAAATTTTTGTATTTAGCTCTTATCATGAATTGATAACTAATATTTTATTTGGTTGGCATAAAATATAATGAAATTACTCACATTCATGATATATATATATATATATATATATATATATATATATATATATATATATATATATATATATATATATATATATATATATATATATATATATATATATTGTTTGTAGATGTATATTTAAAATTAGAATGTAAATAATGCTAATTGTCTCAATTACCCTTAATTCGATATTTTAGCACTTAGTATTATTTTTGTATCCTATATTTTATGCATTTATATACGCATTAGTGTAAATAATGATTGGTTCATATTTTTTATTAGAATTCTCGTATCATTCATATTTTTATGTATTCGAAATGAAACAGTATTTTGGAAGCATGGATGGATGTATATTTAGTGTTTAATGGAGCTAAAATACCTGTGAAAACCGAAACCATGGACGGATGTAAAGTATATCAAGAGTATGCAATTGCATACCCTTCAATTTTTACCACAGGTATTTTTTTCCTTCTTTTAAATAAGTTATTATATAACAAATACTAATATTGCATTCCATTGATATAATTATTGCATACTCTTTTGTTGTTGAATGGTTATGACGTGGCTTCAAGATCAAAATATAATAACAATTATTTAACAGATTATAAGACACAACATGTACATATATCGATTTTTTGAAGCCTCTTTGATTCAAAATATTTCCACAGAAAATAATCAGATACTGAAAATTCAGACTCTCAAAAATCCTAATCACATGTCCGATTTATCAGTAAGAACAAACGACTATTCCGAAGACTCTTATCAAAACCTTTATAAAGTCCACAAACTGTTAGAGAAAGTAGATTTAAAAATCAAATCTAAAAACCTAACTATTGGACGTTGTCTCTTATCAAAAATATTTACTTTTTCCTTTTCAATTATAATATATGCCGTTAATAAATATGGAAAAACCATTTTATACTTTTTTTTTTTATTAAAAGTGATATTATAAAGCAATGTTTTAAAAACCGATTTGAACCTACCGACTGAACCGGTTGGACCGGAAGCTGTGGAGGAAACGGTTCAACAATCACCGATTTTATGTCGATTTCCGAACCGGATAGAACCTGCTAGTTTTTAGAAAAATCCGGTTGAACCGGTCAAAATAAACCGGTTGAACCAGTTAAACCGAATAAAAATAGCTGGAAAAAAGCTATTTATGTAATAAACTTCGATTTTTTTTTTTTAATTTCAAATCTATTTAGTTTTCTCTAAATAAAATATATGATAAATATTATAAAGTTTTTTGATTGTATTTATTTAAAACTATATTTTGTTTCAGTATTATGCTTTATTTTATTTTTTTGATATATATATATATATATATATATATATATATATATATATATATATATATATATATATATATATATATATATATATATATATATATATATATATATAGATTGATGTAAAATACTAAAACTTCTAGTTATGTGTTATTTTAATGTATTTAGATTGATATACAACTTATTTTTATTTATAATTTTTAATGTTTGAATTATAAATGTCAAATTCATAATTTATATATGTATGTGTATGTAAAAAAAAAAAAAAAAAAAAAAGATGAAAATTATAGACATCAGTTGACCCAGTGGTCGAACTGGTTAAACTGATTGAATCGGGTACC